GGGATTCTGAATATGATTCAGGAGTTATCGATGAAAAACCACAACGACTGTCACTTCTCATGTGTCGTTCAATACATTATATTTCCTTCGCATACCATCACTGCATCTAAAGAGAGGTATTTCTCATACTTTGATTATTTGATTGTTTACTCATTAAGTAATTTATTGTGAAAATGAATGAATAGCTTATCAGACGACGAAGAGTCGGAATTAACTGAAGACGACGGAGAACTACAACTCATAACCGAGTGTTGGGTTGAGCCACAGAATGGAGTTTCGTTTGATTGCAATAATCGTAACAAATTTCTCGAGGGATTAGACTATAAGGAGATCTCACAGTCGGTGAGTAGTATTCAAAAGAAAAGTGGTTTTTTGATAAGCAATCAAAAGATTCACTAAACAAACGGTTTGAAATTTATTGGAACAACTCTTAAGTAAAATGTCAATTAGATATTAGATATTAAACTCAATATTATATGAAATTCTTGAGATTTTCTTATCTAATATCCAAAGGTTTGCAAACAATAAGTTTGCAATAAGTTGTTATTGAGGACGAGTTGAGCCTTAAATATTGATATACTTTAGTATTTTCTAAAAATTACTCATATTTTGAGCATTTTTTGGCGACAGTTAACGATAAATAGTTGTCGGATCTCATTGTTATATGCAATCTTTGTAACAGAAGTTTCTAGCAATAAATGGTATTGCAATAGATTTAAGACATAAGACATGAATTATTTGTCTACACTTGTAGTGTGTATTTGATTTGCATTTCTTGTTGGTTTCATAATCTTTGCGGACATTTTGGCAATCAAACAGTCAAACAGTTTTATAATCTTATCGCCGATTGGTTTAGTCTTGTATTAGGTTCAGTCCCTCCATAGTTACCATATCTGGTATCACTCATAGCAAGTAAGCTCTCTTAAGAATGCCCCCCATAATTGTCATACGGTTTGCTACCCCTCCACTTATTGGGGTATTTATATGACTGCCTTTCTTGGTTGTCACGGATAATAGTGTGACTCCAGTGGAAACTAGAATTGTGGTCAAGTGCTGATCAGTTCAGTTGGGTTGGCACTCATTTGCAAACTGTATGTGCGATCTCTCGTCGAGACATTACCGACGATGCCTTATATCATGAATTATAAGTACATTATATATTATATTATATTCGGTGTTAGAGTGGGAACTGCTGTGAATGGATGAGTTGGAAGTGCGGATCCTGACATACGAGACACTATTTGCCAGATCTAACTCTTCCAGCTCATGCATCACACCTATGCTGACTAAACCTATTGCCTCAAGATTATCAAACGTGTCATTTTTGTGTTCCGTATGAATATGTCTAAAGATGTAATTGTTCATCAATTTATGTAATGAATAAATAGTTAATTGATATGAGAATCACTGAGAACTAAGTGGAGTAGTGGTCTCTTCAGTAAATGAGGTTAACTGAGATTCAACTCCTCCAACTTATTGCTCTTTGATTGCCCACAATGTCTGTTATATGCCGTTATGATATATGCCATCAAACGCCTTATCACTAAATGCAATCAAATCTATCATTTGCTTTCAGTTTTTTTGCTTTCACTTGAAATAATTGTTTTATTCTTTTATATTTCTCCGTATTGTTATCCAAAACCTATATTAAGTGTACACTATTTTTGTGATAATATTCTGGGCGTTATAGTGATTATCACAAAACAAATATTACAGAACCAGAGATCAACCGTTTTTACTGTTCACTTATTTCTCAACCGCTTAATAAACTTTTTTTTGTCTTTTTTATGACTTCGATATACACTTGTAGTATAAGAATGATTGTCTCAAAGTCTATAAACCCATGAGTAATATCTAAAGATATTTTTCGGAATACTTTTATAATTGCAGTAATTTTTGTGACAAACATTTCTTCAATTATTTATCAGTAGCTCATCACAAGTACCTCATTATCTAAGTAACAGATATGCAAGCCTTGGAAAAGCAAACAATTGTTAAAACCGGATATTTGATAAACGCTCTGAATTTCTAGATTTAACCTAAACTGCAGATTACATAAAACTGTTTCCTTAATATCATATTGTTTTGTATAGTTCTATGCCATTGATTTGGAAGCCATTTCATGCCTCTTAACGTTTGAACAAACGCTCATTTTGTGCCAAAACGATGCCATCGAGTCACCAATCGATGACATCCCAGTCTCTAACACAGAATCGCCTCAACATAATCTGAAACACTCAACAAGCAAACTATTGGGCACTTCAACCCCCGATATCCCACTCATTATGCCACCCATTCCTAAGTCAGAGCGCATTAAAACAAATAAGTATTGCTACGATATAATGGGATTACTGTCGAAATCACAGCAGGCAGTCGTCCTCTTCTCCACTCTATTCCAAGAGTTGAGAAGTGGTAACACAGAAGACACTCATTCCGTCAACTTTTCCGACGTTTCAAACGAGCTTTTCTTCGAGCTTTTGATCTCTAAAATCAATTCAATTCACGACAAAGAGATAAAACTGAGTGAAAAAGATTGCAATTCTTTTATAAATCAAATCAATGAAAGAAATAATTTCAATATCTGTCTCTTCAGAAGTCAAATGACAGACATTTGGATCAAATTTAGATGTTTTTGCAAGAAATTGAATGCAAATAATATACTCATTACTATACTTCCGGCCACTTTTAGTGACCTAAAACTGTTGATATTAGGCAATGAAATGCAATCAATTAAATGTTTAAATGCAGTTCACATTATAGATGAAAACCAAACCTCTAATGACTCTGTCTTTGGTTCTCTAAGTTTAGGAGTTTTTATTTATAAGACTTCTTTCAATGATTTAAGCGAACAATTGGTTTATTTGTCGGAAGGAAAGCGTTGGNATAAGACTTCTTTCAATGATTTAAGCGAACAATTGGTTTATTTGTCGGAAGGAAAGCGTTGGAAAGACTTATATTTTGATAACTCATATAATTCACAAAAACCCGAGTTTTCTAACTATCCTTTCAGACCATTGAAAGCTAATGACACAGAAATAGAGACTCATTCCAAGAGTTCTCTCAAACAATTTTGTTTAAGCCTTCAAACCATTTACTGGAATTGTTTTACACAATCAATTTACAAGTCTTTACAATCCATACCATTGTTGTCCACTTCGACCCGCATTTGTGACGACGAGATCACTTATTTGGGATACTTTAGCACTCATAAGACAATGATCTTACAGATCCTTCAAGACAAGGCTAACAACCCTCAGACGCAACTGACCGAAGATGTCGAGACCGAAGAGGTGGAGACAGAAGACCTCGAGACCGAAGAAGACGAAACCGCGGCCATCGACTGCCGTCGAGAGCATCTCTGGACATGTCTTTTGCCTCGAAAGACAAATAATAGCGAATCAGATGACACGCACTTAACTATCACTGAGTTTGACGAACTCTTGAGTTTAGTGGACACCATGTCATTGAGTCAATACGACCCCCGTTTGGTGCCATTCACTTGTCTTCACTTATCATGGTATCAGTCTTTGGCCAAAACACTCGTCCATAAAATCGGAATGAATTATAGAAATTTCTCGTCGTCTGACATGAAATCCATAAAATTAGTAATTATTTCATGTGTTTAACACATTATCTCATTGTTTCTAAAAACTATTAAATTCTTCAAATTATAGGTCTTTAGTCAGAGTTCTTGTTTGGATTGCTTTATATTACTGAATATAAACGCAAACACTTCACTCGCTGTAAGTTTTATACCGTAATGAGTGAACATTTGAATCATTGTTTGATTATTGTTTTTATATTTCATGTCAATAATCAGGAAATATGTCTCGTATTCAAGAAGCAGATGACAAATAAGACGAGAGAATCGTTTCTGGAATCCTATACTCAATGCCATACTCTGGTCGAGGAGTTTATCAATGGATGCGCTTATTATATGTGGTCTGCAATCCCTTAATCATTAAACCAATATTTGTTATATTAATTGACAGCTAATTTGTGGCAAAACTGTATAAATTTCTCAATCAATTCATTGTTCAAACAATTTGGTACAAAATTATCTCACAAGTCAGTTGTTTAATATTTTTACATTTTTGTTGAATTTTTAACATTTCAGAGCTTATATAACCCGTTATTTTACTACTATTTTATAAACGAAATTCAAACATTGAGTCAAATAAAATGAAATATATTTTTAAAAATGATTTATTAAATAATTTAATTATAAATTATATTAAATAAAACTTTTATTAAATATAATTTTAAAATAAAAAATGCCATACTCTGGTCGAGGAGTTTATCAATGGATGCGCTTATTATATGTGGTCTGCAATCCCTTAATCATTAAACCAATATTTGTTATATTAATTGACAGCTAATTTGTGACAAAACTGTATAAATCTCTCAATCAATTCATTGTTCAAACAATTTGGTACAAAATTATCTAATATGCGTTCACCATAAATTAGTCGGTTTTTTATTAAATTTTTAACATTTCAGAGCTTATATGACCCGTTATTTTACAAGAATTACTGTAAACTACTATTTTATAAACGAAATTCAAACATTGAGTCAAATAAAATGAAATATATTTTTACAAATGATTTATTAAATAATCAATTGCTTGTAATCAGTGCCTGTTTAGAGGGAATTCATGATACAGTAATTGAATGATAATCATCTCAATAATAGTGAATGGCATACAGGCTTTGTTGAGCCGTATCTCTGCCTTCTCGATGTCCTTTTGGGATCCGTTTTGTGTTATCAAACTCTTTGGCCTTAAGTTGTCTTCACTTTCTAATGACTTACTGTATGTTATCACATGTCATAAGTTTGTTGACGTTTTTTGTCAATATTATGGTTTTGTTGACCCAAACAGCTGTACAGATGTTTGCATTTGAAGCACACATTACGTCAGTCTATAACTTCACACTAAGACCACTAAGACTTTGACTGCGGATCTGTTTGAATACTGTGATCACTGTTCACATGAGACACGACGGCATCGACTGCTAAGATGAAGGGTGTGGTGAAGGAGGCGGACAATGTGTTTGTGGTGATGACAGACAAGTACCGGATCTCGAGGAATATAAGAGCGAACTGGTATTTCGAGCGCATCCACTCTCATCTGTCATTGCAGGCCAACCACTCACTCGTGAGGACACAGCCATCCATGCAATCACTTCCACTCACAATCTTATGCTTGTGTCCACTCACAGGAGAGTCTCAACAATGAGATCGATTTGGTGTCCATTCTTCCGGTCAATTACCAGCACTACCACGACTTGGGATCAGATTCGCAATACTCGGGCCAATACTTGATGACAACGACCACTAAAGTGACGTTTTTCTCGAGAAGATATCGGTTGGCGTTTGTCCTCGACTTGAGTCCTTCCATCTCATCAGTGGTTCGTCTGAATTGTCTTTCATTGCCATTCAGTTCTTAAGCAATGGTTTGATTGTCAGGACATTCAAAGGAGTAGAATATTATTGGACGAAGTCTTCACATCAATGGCCGCCTGTTTGCGAGGACTCGTCCAACCCGTGAGACCTCTTAGCCATATGTTTGTCACTTTGTAATGAGCTTTAAATGCCAATCAGTTTTACATCCCGGGGTCTCAACTGCTGTTCGCACCCAAACTCTTCGTGACTGTCATCGCATACATACCTTTCTATAGCTGTGATAGCCATCAGGTGTGCTATTGTTTGCAAATAGTGCCACAGATTCCTAATGCTATGCATTATATTGAACTGTATATCAGGTGTTGGCTCAGGGATGGGAACTAACGCACGACAATATCGAGTCATTTCTGACACATTTGCGCTCAAATCTGTCGGATATAATCGCTTCGGTGTCGGAAATATCGGCAAAAGCTAAGGACGAGCGCGACGAAGAGGAACAGGTGATCACTGCCTATATTGGACTCTATGTACAGGTGCTATAGAGTGGTTTTCCTTTGCATTGCAGTCAGAATCGGATGCATTGATTGGTTCGCTGTTTGATGAGAAGGAGACAAAGAGTCGATCTGTTCCTACATTGTTGGCCACTCCCGACATATCGATGGTTAATATGTTGAGGTTTGGGTTATTAGCCCTTCAGCTCCTGCCCGACAACAGTAGCCCCGGAATAGTGATCGTAACGGACGGCATGTTTAGGTGAGAGGGAAATGAGTGTCATTTGTCGCATGCATTGTAATGAGTGACTCTTAACGTCTAGTCTGCCGAACGCCAACACATTGGAGTCGGCACTGACCCAACTCAGGCACCGCACCATTTCCTGTTCATTCATCCAAACGGGTAGTTCAGCGCATCCACACTCAGCCCTGGGGTTCATCCCCTACACCGACCTCATGAAGTTCATATCGACCGCCACTTTCGGGGCCTATTTGTCCGCTTGTCCTCAACTCACGCCAGCCGTGAGTTTCCAATCAATGACTTTATATCACATTATTATTACTGTGTTCTCAATAAACCATAAGAATATAAATTGTGATTATTAATACCGTAACATAACTTATTGTTCATAGTTTTACGCAGTATTACAGTTCAATAGACTATAATTATGGATACAATGAGAATATTTGTATTTATGTATGAATAGGATGGCGATGGAAAGCATGCCTTCAATCTATATCACAGAGCATTCTTCGCCTGGAATTTTCAAAGAGGTTTGTTTGGCTTCAGAGCTGACATTAACTACAAACAAATGGCAAACAATTCCGCGCGTGAATGGGCTGTTGAGTGAGTA